AATGCAAAACTATTGTATCACTTCAAAGAGATCAACTTTATTCCAGATCTCTCCATTCTTAGTCTTTTTTGAGACAGCAATACGTGAAATTAAATACGTTTGTGAAGACTGATTCACGCGGCCGTCATATTTCGTTAAATAAGCTTTTTTTGTTAATCCTATTGGTCGATTTTCGCTCGTTCCGCCACACGTTAAGTCGTTCATTCCCTCATAGATCTCTCCCGACGACATCCGTGGATTCGTAGTGGGTTTCCCCGTTTGTTTGCTTGGCTGTTACGTCCTGACTTCAATGCTTTATGTGCTTCACGTGCATTAACGTACATGGGTTTTCCAACGTTTGGCTATGGGTTTCCTTTTGCTTTGTCTCGTGCGTCCCCCATACTTAAGCTGTCGCCATTTTCAAGTTCTTTTGCTTAGGGACTGGTCAAAAATTATAGAGGGAGGGGAGGGGTCTGCTGGGGCATTTGAAAATGTAGTAGATAGAAAACTCGTGACCCACCCCTTCCACTTGGCACAAAACTGAGTGACCCACTCCTAAATGAAGGTTGAAAATTACTTGACCCACCCCCTATAAAGCACTGATGACACTTTTTGTTACATCGCGTAATCCAATAATATTATGCTGTGCATCAACTTGTCGTGTTATTTATGTTATAGATTTATTAAGAATCTAAGTATTGTGACACCGCGCGTTTCCTATGCGTTGCCATTTCCCTGTACATTACTCTACAAGTTTCCTTTTCATTCCACTTGCTTTTTGTTCCGTTTACCGGTGCGTTTTGCTTTGCCCTACCCTCCGCGTTCTGACATACGTAACTCGTGCGTTCTTCCCTGGTTTCCCAATGTGTTCCCTCCGAGTTAGCCTTGCGTTCACTTTGAGTTTCTCATGCGTTTAATAGTTTGTTTCACCTTGTGATCCCTACGCATTCCTTTAAAATCTCCCGCTATGTTTCTCCATGACGTTCCTTTTTAATTTCCGTACATTCCGCCAGATGTACACGTGTTCCGTTGTGTCTTCCTCCTCCAAAGGCTTTTCTTATTTTATTTTTTTTTTTTCTTAGCGCAAAGAGCGATTGGGAGACTGGGAGTGAGCAAAAGGGCGCGAGCGGGAGCTGGTAGCAAGTGAGGAGCGCGAGCGCAGGGTGCGATGGGAAGGGGAAAAAGAGAGAGAACCCCTGCGCCCCTATTCACCAGTTAGTCATTATCGTTAATCATACTATCGTGCAGGCGACTGGGGACCACGCAGCCGTTGTGCAGAGCGAAGGGCTTTCCCCTAAGGGTTTTTGGTATCTATCTTTATCCGTGAGCTTCCTTTGCTTTTCCCTCACACCGTGCGTTCCATCGTGTATTTCCTCGTTAATTCCCCATGCGTTCCTTCATAGTTAGTGGAGGGGAATAGTTATGAAAACCGATAAATCTCTTTGCTCTTTGGTTTTTGTTCGCTTTTTTGGCCTTGACCGTGCACAAAACACAATTGTTGTTTACCCCGTACTGAGGAGCTAACCACTAGTAACGTTTTGGTTACGTAATTCATGCATAGTGTATGAGTGCAAAACAAAAGATTGCGCACGGTCGTGGACCATCCAACATAAATTTTGGCATCTTCGTTTGCTCCCTTGATGTTTGCCGGGTTTCGTAACCATTCCCCTCTGTAAACTATGGTTCTACCGGTACGTATTGGAATCTGGATACACTTTGCATGGGTTGTATTTGTTGGCTGGTTAAATGCTGTGTGATTGGGTGCCTCCCCGACACTCCTCAAGACCAACATCCCCACATACCCACTGAAATCGCACCCATCCGCGTCCTCTGGGGGGGGGG